TCACGACTCCAAGCGGTGGCGATGACTCTGCGGGGCAGAGTCAGTTTGTACTCCTGCTGTCGATCCAAGTAGATGTCATCAGGGGTCCAAGCCTTAGGGATGGAGTAGCGGTTCTCAAAGGACGTAGTCGAAGGAGGGGTTTCCACAGGAAGGCCCGAAGATTTCCTGCGTGGAGAACGGGAACGACGGGAGGTGCGTCGATCGTGTTTTCCTCGACGGCGATGGGTGGCGGGAGAGCTGCTGGTAGAGCGTCCGCGAGCCATGATCCCGGGAGAACGGCGATGAAGTCGTAGAGGGCACCAAGACACAAAATTGAGAGCTGAAGAAAGGGCGGCGGAAAAGTCACAGGTATGGATACTGCAAACGTGAGGAGAAGAAAAAGTGGTAGAAGGAGAAATCTCGGACCTCGGAGAAAGCATTGTTTTACTGTGACAAGCGTTTCAGGTTTAAAAATCGGAGGAGCTGCTACGTGGAGTTTAAATAGAAGGTCCTGCAGGGGGTGGTGATGGAACCTCGTCAGAAGGAGCCGGAGTCGATGTACGGGGCGCAGTCCGGTGTCGAGTCGCTTGCCAAAGGTGAACATGTAGAAGTCCGCGACCATCAAGAGGATGTTGATGAGAGCGATCCAGTGCCGAAGAGAGGGTGGAAGGAGTAGATCCGCGGGAAGAAGTTGTCCAGGGAGTAGACGTGGAAGTGGAACCATCCTGGAGTCGGTGTAAGGGTTGGAGTGGTGGCGGTGTGCGAGAGCGCGAGCGGGCAGGTGTAGGTGTAGTATTGGGTGGTGGTGTAGCAGGAGTAGCAGGAGTCGGAGGCGATTCCGGAGGTGAATTGGAGTCATAGATGCGATGTGATTGGCGGCGGGCGAGAAGGGCTTCATCGGCGGCGGTGCCAAGGGCGAAGTTGTCCTCTGGAGTACCCAGGGCACGAATAAAGCCCTTGGGGTTGACCCGATAGATGCCAAAAGTAGTGGTTGCATCCGGCGAGGGTACCACATATTGAAGAAGAGACACGCCGCGAGCAATCCGACGTTGTAAAATGTTGAACTCGTGGACAGCGCGACGTGTTCGGATATAAATGTTCCGGGCGGAGATAGTCTCAAAGTGTTGATCAGGTGGTACTTCTTGAGCCATCATCGGGTGAGCGCAAAGGGCTTCCGCGGTCCATGCAGCCAGGCAAACCATCCAGTGAAGCCATAGTAGTTCAGGTTGCCGATGTGGTTGAGGACGAACATTGCCGGGTGGCGGGCTGACGGGTAGGCGGTAAGGATTGAAGACAGCTTCACGTGGTGGTGGAGCCAAAGAGCCAGCCAAAAGGCCCGTAGGGGGAGGATCCATGGGGACCAGGAAGGCGAAAGGGCTAGAGGAAGTTCAACTCAGAGGATCAGTATGAATAGAAACGGCTGCAGCAGGATGTAGCAAGGAAAGATGCAGGAAGGTTGGTGAAGGGGAGGATTGATAAATTGTGTGTCAAAAACGAAACGAAAACCAAACAAAGCTGAATGGTAGAAGCACTTTTCCGCGAAATGTGTGCAGGGAAGAGGGCGTCTTATGGCCCGAAGGGAAATTCAGGAAGTCGAGGTAGTCCCGGATGGAGATGGAGCCGAACCGTAGGGTGGAGGGAGGTGTGGTAGTACAGCACCATGCGGAAGCCACGGTTGGGTCGGTAGAGCATGAGGAGGGAACATGGCAAGACGATGTAACAATCGATTCGTCCGAGTCACTTCATCGATCAAGCGTTCTGTAGAGGCATGTAGATCCCGAAGGATTTGCTCCAAGTCGGATGGCAATCCCGGAGGAAACTCAGTCGTGTAGGGCATCTCGTAAAGTACCTCCAAGGAGCGAGAGATGGAGTCAATCAAGGTGCGTCGTGAGATCAACATGTTGATGATGCCGAGTGGTACCTGCTGAGGATGAGAGTCCATGGTAGTCCCGAAGGAGGCCTCCATCGTATAGTGAGAGGCGACCGGGGAATCAGGCGGCTGTGGGCGAAAATCTAAATCAAAATCGCATGTGCGTAATGAGCTTGAGCCAAGCAAGAGAAGAAAAGTGTACGGGATTGCAATTCTGGGGCACCAGGAACTGTGAGCAAGACCATAAGCAAAGGAAAATGGAAAGGAAAGGGAAAAAAGGTGAGGCGCTGCTTGGAGTTGGTCCTTTTTCCGCGTAGGAAGAGAACTCCGTAGGCAGAAAACAGCGACATATTGCCGCGGCGCTGCAAGGAGGATATAGTACCGGTAGATCAGGGCCACCGTGCGGATGTTCATAGTGGGATGTCAGAACGTCGAAGGCCGTAAGAATTGAGTTCATTCGTCCGAATGAACAAGCCAGCGTATTGAATTTGACTGGTAGAGGATCTGCATTTGTACCTCGAGTCTGTCCGATTCCGCACAACATCATAGAAATGACTGGCAATAGCGTCACACGGGAGCCCCCCTGAACGGACAACGTAATGTTGGAGCTGGCGGGAGAAGCACTCTCCAGCCACGAAGTACCTCCGATTGGACGTGCGGCCGCCCCAGACGCTGGCGACGTGGAGGGCGCATTGAAGTTCCGGAGTCAACTGATGTGTGATGCTTGAATTGACCCTGTTGTCTGAGTCGTGGCTGTGACCTGGGTAGCAGCATCGGCAGTAGAAACCCAAGCTGGGAAGGAAGTCCGAAGTCTCCTCAGTCGACTTCCAAGAGCTAGGTCGAATGACACCATCACCATCAGCAAGGATGCCACGGAGTGAAATCCCAGGGCAATTGTGAACGAAGGTGTAGGTGGTCTGAGGTAAATTCCGCTGAAAGTGAGCAGGTTTGGGGTAGTCCAGCTTGAGAAGCAGAAAAAGGATGCCCTGGCACGGTAGCTTCCCCCATAGAAATACCGATGACTTCTCAAGGATGCGCGGGATGTGGGCGAGAGTTGTGATGAAGTCGCCCAGGTGGTCGCCCCAGGAGTCCACAGGGATTCGCTGCAACGGTAAGGGCAATAAACGGACCAGCTCATGGATGGTGGTGTCCACAAGTGTGCGAGGCAGGTTCTCAGGAGCCTCACATTCCTCCCAGCTGCATGGTCGATGGGGGTCATCGATGAGGGCCCGGCGGAACTTGGTGACCATGGAAAGTAAGGAGCTCCAATCTTGAAATTTGTGTTCATAGATCTCGTTCCAAACATCAGAAGGGCCGGAAAGGCGAATGTGAAGCCAATAAGGTGTGGTCCAAATCTGTTTCTGTGGAGCGATCTCAATGGCAACCTCAATGATATTGTCGACAAAGTAGTCCAACTTGGCTGAGTCCTCCAAAGAAGTGAGGTCCGGTTTGTGTCGAGACCAGTGGACCGAAAGTCGTGGAGGAGTCTCTGGTCGAGTTGGACGACGCGGAGATCTGTAGGTCGAATCGGAGTGGTTGGAAGTGGAGGGTTGGGTGGAGAAAAGGGAGATGGAAAGGTCGGCAGGTGCAGAGGCAACGGTTGTTGGTTCCGGAGCAGCTGGTGTGGCAGTGGTGGGTGTGGCAGTGGTGGGTGAAGGGTCGGATGGTGGATGTGGAGAGGGAGCTGTGTGGGGAAGGTAGAAAGAAAATGGGGAGAAGAACGGAGTGAAGGAGGAGTGCAAGAGAGCCTGCTGTTGCATGTGGTGAGCAGCTTGTTGTTGTTGTTGTTGTTGAACTTGAAGACGAAGTAGCCGAAGTTCCTCCGCTTCTGAGGCAGGGAGTGAGGGAAGTGGGGGTGGTGCTGCCGGAGGAGGTTGAAATGCTTGTGGTGGAGTGGTGGGTCTTGAAGTGGAGTTGGAGACGGGAGGTGTAGGTTGAGGAGGTTGTCGATCGCCTGGTCCAGGTAGTAGTACCAAAGGAGTTGTCGCCGATGAGTCTCGATCCGAAGGAGGGTGAACCGAGGCGGGAGGCGAGACCGGTGTGTCGTGTGATGTGGCACGTGGTGCTGGCGCGTCTGCGCGTGCGTTGCCATGCTGGTGGGTGGAATGGTGAGAACGAGAACGTGTAGAAGGAGGGTTGGATGTGTGGTGATGTTCCTGGGCGGGAAGTGTTTCCCGCGGCTGGTGCTGATGTGTGCGAGAACGGTGTCGCCGAGAATGTGAGCGGCGACTGTGCCGGTTGTCCCGTCGGGAGCGTGAACGGCGGCGAGAGCGGCTCCTGGGAGAACGTCGTCGGTCATGTCGGCGGTCGTGATGTCGAGATCGAGTGGTTCGTGAAGTGCGACGAGTGCGGGGAGAAGGTTGCCGGGGTCGTGGTCGTAGTGCGTATGGATTGAGAGGTGGTGGGCCTGTAGCCCGTGGGTGAGAAAGTGGTGGACGTGGGCGTGGTGCATGGACACGTGGTGGTGGGAAGAATGGAGTGGTAAGATGTGAAGGTGGAGAGGGTGGAAAGGTGGGAGGAGGAGGATCGGAGGGTAGGGTAGAGGATTCGCCCGTGACAGGTTCGGTCTGTGGTGGTGGAGCTGGAATACCGCGTGCAATTTCGGTTCCAGGTGGTACCTTCGCCCACTATGGGCACGTACGTTTCCAGAGCAAGGGAAACAGCGACGTACACCCGTTCGACGGGTCCACGGGAGGCACTCTGCGGGCTCATCCCGGGTTGGCACAAGGCCAAACACACTTAGGATATGGTGTACGGAACTGAATGCGGTGCCACACGCCGGCCTAGGGTTCCAATTCCTAAGGGTACGTGTACGAACCACTGGATCCTGGAGGTCTTCAAGAGGAAGTAGGGCCCAAAAGGAAAGGAGTGATCGACGAACCGACAAGATGACGACGTGTCGCGCATGTCTGCAGAAGGTCAAACTCAATTCAGCAAATCTTAAAAATTAAGCAGGTACACAATGCGGCGTCCCGCATTGCTTCACGACCGATCTATCACTGTCTTCGTTGGGCAGTGAGTGATAGTGGTCCACTGCCCCCCTGCAATAAAACAAATGCAAAAGCATCCCTATGACTCCAAGGGTGACACACACACACACATCCTGAATTCTATTGAATTCCTCTCTCTGAAGCCTGAAGCGCCAAGATACTCCGCAGTAAAAGCAAAGCACACCAACAACTTTGCCTCGCCATTTTATGAGACTAAACTTCAACAGGCGAATGCACTAGAGTCACTAGAGTTCTGATACACTCGAACATCTCTGCGCACACTTCTGGCCTAAAGGTGTCGTTGGAACCATGTCTCCATAGCCTCAGATCACAACAGCTTCATTCGTGCACTGACGTCATGTCTCTGCCGCCGCGGTGCCCACAGTGGTCATTGTTGTGAACACCCACCACAGGCAAATTGGGATGGAACGGAAGGGTGTCTCCACTTCGTGCTCACCCTGAAGCATTCATAATTTCGATCCAGTTTCACTCTCAGCAAGCAGAACTGAATGACGTTCATGCTGCCTGTGCATCTGCTCGAACGAAAACACCAAAAGGATGCGGAGCTGGAACCTTGGGACCATCTCAAAACGCAGCTCTGACGACCGACAAACAGACAACCATCACTTGTGCCCTGACTCGGACTCCTTCGTGAGTTTGTCCGGTTTGATCGTGCTGCTAAAGCTTCGTCGAACACGTTTCTCCGGTACAGAGGTCAACAGCTGCGACACGAACCCGAAGGGAAAGATAGAGAACAAAGAGAAGACAGGAGACAAGAAACAAGAAAAAAACGCCAGGACATCGCACCTTCAAGATCTCCGACACTATCAGGGCCACAAGAACTGCAAAGTAGGTCCGTACACCGTATACGAGCAACAGTGTTGTTGAAGGCATCCACGGTAGGCCGGGTAAACTCGTCGGCCACCTCAGCAATTGAATGAGTGTGGCTCCCATTTCTGGGAGCTACAATGGAAACAATGGGGAGCCAACAACGAATCCATCCTGTTGAATTTGCGTGACACCCCCCAAAACAGTCAAACCCAGTCTGCTACGAGACTATCACACAAGATATGATTCGCACGGAGTCGTGCGTCGGCGCATGTCCACTAGGCCCAGACTGAGAACTGCTGCCCCTCGATGTAGTAAATCACCTGGCGCAATCATACTGTCATACTGGGTCCAGAAGTTCCTTGTTCTTCATTCCTTTCTTGGCCAAGTGACACATGCAAAGAAAAGGCCCACGATGACGTTGAAAAACCTCAACATTTGCAGATCTGCGTTCAGTTCCGTCATGTGCGCACCTCGAACCCACAAAACAAAGCACGATGAGCTTGTAGCCTTTGGTAACCAAGCAACATCAAGATCGCCAAAGTAAACCCACTGTTGGCTGTAGCTTCTAAACAAAGCCGGATGCCTCAGGAAGGACATGAGGTGAGTGACGTTGCCCTCGTTTTGCATCGAGCCTCCATGATGCTTTGCCAACTTGAAGAGTCGCACGACCTGACAAAGCAGCGCGAGCTCGAAGCTAGAAGCTAAAAAAGCTACTAGGAACAACTGCATCGCTACTAGTAACAAGTGCCTTACTAGTAGTAACAAGAAGCT